AGCTTCAGAAAATAATGTGCCAGAATGGTCAGAAAGTAAGGCACTGCAATTGTCCGGAGAGTTGCCTGAACTGGAAGTAGAGGGTGCAATGAAAAGTGGAAGTACACCAGAGAACAGAGCTATATTAGAGGTTCCCTTTGAGGCCCGAGGGATGGTTCCAGCAGGTGATACCACCTCCCAGTGTCCTACAGGTAATGCCAATTGTGTGAAAGAGATTGTCCAGAAAAATAGATATCGCAGAGAAAGGTTTCAGCTACTCGTGACTTCCCTCCTTTTTGTGGAAGGAATACTCCATGCCTTTCAAAGGAAGAGCTTTTGTGTGCTGTTCTGGGAAAAAGGCTTTTGGAAGCAATTAAGGGTAGGAAGTTAAGAGAGGTGATGAATGAGGAAGGAAGTTCAGTAACAGAGACAGAAAGAACTGTTATTGAAGTCCTGGATAAAGTTGTTTGAAGAATATGCCAATGAGATTGAGTTGGAAGGAATTATACAAAACGAAGACTATCTATCCGGAAGCAGCTCTGCAAGTGGCGCAATTGATGGAGCTGGGGAGGGCTGATTTCAAAGGCAGTCTGTGAGGAAAAGCACAGCAGCTGGTTTGAAGCAGGTTAATTGTTTTTAATTTGGAATTTTAGTTTTTCAAATTGCTGAAAAAAATTAAAAAATTTAAGGAAAAAATACTTGATAAATTAATTTCATCATTTTCTTAGAAAATTGGACTTCTATTTGTTTTCTTACTTCCACAAAATGTAATTTGCAAATATGAAAATAAAAACTAATATTGCAGGGTGATAGAATTGGCGAATTCACTGGGTACCTGGGACTGATATTGTTCATTTGCGATTTCCATTGCATGTGGTCAGGATAGCCCTTTTGGGTTGCACGAGGGGCATGGAGAAGAAACGAGAGGCACTGAAACAATGACCTCACCCTGACGGTCCCATATTTACTAGCTAGTCTCCTTCACTATCGTGTATAACAAATTGAATGCTTGTGTCAATGCCTACAGAGAAAATAGATGGTGTAATTAGAGGCGTTCAATAAGACATATTAACAAAGCATTCAATCACATTTGAACTTAATTTCAATATTTGAAGCTCCAAGGTTTTTTTTTTTTTTTTTTTGTGTATGTTCATCTAGCAAAAGCGGAATCGAGGTTTGTTTTTGTTTCTTTCGTAATGTTTCTGCCAAATGTGTGATTAGAAGCCTCTTCAAAAGCAGAAGTGACAAATATTTCTATGACAAGATGGATCACCTGGAATTTTATGTAGTAACTTGTCAACAGAATTAAGAAAATTATTAATTTCAGTATTTAATTTATACTCTAAGCATGTTAGATGGAACTGAAATTACGAGTCCTAGGTTCCATGGTTCCATATGATTTGGGTTTCAATGAAAACACAAAGTCCCCAGCTAGACAAATATCAGTATAAAACCTGTTAAAGGCTTTTATCTTTGTATTGCTGCAAGGGTAGCCTCCAATTTCTTCTTCAGTGAAACAAATCTTACTTGTTTTTCACTTCACAAACTAATTAGGGTCTGTTCTTTAAGTCTCTCTGCTGGATGCCTTCGAAATTTGACTTTGTCTTCTCTTAACAAAAAAATAAAAGAAAAATGCATTAAAAAGGTTTTTACTTTTTCTGTTTTTGTACCAAAGGATTTTTCTACTGATTTTGGAGTTGTTGTATAGCATCTATCCTGATATGACACTAGAGATAACTGCACAGCTCCTCCTGAATTGGGAAGAGGTGTTTGCTTTCAACGTGGAGATCTCATGGTAATGTCCTCCGAGGCTTTGAGAAAGGCCAAACATGTTTTGTAACTTTCCCTTAGTAATGAGATTAATATTCTGGGTGCTGTTATGTTCTCATATAATTTTGGAACTTGGGTGGTTCACATGCTCTCTAACTAGTCTAACATCTTACATCCGAGAACAAACACCAAAAGCAAATACAGAAACCAAGATCAGACCATCTAGTTGGAGCATAATTACCATAGATGTTTAATATGCTCTGTCCTCCAACTTGTATAAAATACTGGGTTTAAGACCGACGGGCGGGGAAGCAGCAAAAAGACTACTCCCCATTCCGTTGTTCACTACTACTTAGGCGAGCATGCACGAGTAGCTTGTGTATGTTTTTTTGCTTTTCAATGGCCTTACAGTTCCTGAACTCTTTATTATTGTGACTAATTTTAATGAGCGGATGAAGAAATAAACGGTTCTTTTAATGCTCATAGAAACAAAGTCACCCTTGATTCCTCTCTTTTCTCATTAATTACATCAAGGAATAAACACCTGAATATCAGAAAATTTGGGGGAAGACTCGGTTGGGCCAAGAAAATAACTTACATGATAAGGTAAGGAAAGGAGAAAAACAACAGAGCAGCAAAGCTCCTTACAATGTTTATCTATAGAACAATGATTAAAAAAAAAAAAAAAAAAAAAAGCTTGTGAATTACACCAAATAAGTAATGCACGTGTAGTATAAGATAAATTATTCCTCTCTTTTCAAAGACTTCACCCTTCACCCTTTCAGAGGTGTTCAGATTATTAAATATCCCGTTGGATTTCCCCTCATCCACATAGGGGATACCCTGCAAGATTTTATCCACTTCGTAGGGTTGATTTTCAATTGAGAACTTTTGGAATACCCATTCACAACTTTGTCAGATATGGCTTTAACCCCATACCACAGACAACCATTCAACCTGCAAGGAAAGCTCAAGGAAAGCAGATAAAAAGATGACTCATTAAAATTCAAGTTTGAGGTTCTTCGTCAACTCATTCATAGGTCAATTCAGACCAGGGACTACTCAACTGGGAACAGAGGGAGTTGAACACATGCCAGAGACGATTGGTAAACCTTGATCATTTAAGTTTTTCTTGCTTCCTTTCTTGAATTGATCAAGCATGCACCACTAGTTTTTGGACAATCCTGACAAAAACCTAAAGCATTACGTCAACATGATTCGTAAGAGCAAGAAAATTGACCAAAAAGCTGAATAGGCGCGTTCGTTTAGAGGGAGACGGAGTTTCATCGGGAACGGGGAAGGCATGGTTCTGACTATTCCTACTTTGGCAATGTGGGGTTTAAGATTGAGGGAGGAACCGCTATTCCCTCGTTAATTCCTGTTGATTGTTGGGATTAACCATATCCTATTCCTTCCCGGGACTTACAGTTGTGGCAAACAAACAGTCATCGTTTTCCTTAGCTTGTAAAAGTTCGCCACCTAATAGCTCTAAAATTGATTCTCTCTTATTTTATTGAAAAGTAAAAAACTTTCACGTAATTTCCAATTTGGCATGTTACAGACTGGTTGGTGAGTCGAGGCTTAAATAATTTTGTATTCTCGAGCAAGTTTTTAATATAGAGAAATTCTAATAAAACAAAACATTAATTTTCTTTTCCTGTCGCCAGTTAATAAACTAATTTAAAATCAGCACGAAAATAGAATTCACCTCTCTCCATCCACCTGGCCAATGAATTGCAAGACAACTACAAAGCGAGGTATTTGGTTTTTGTCTATCCTGTCCATGTGTGGAGTGCCACCTACCAACCCCTTCAATGTGTTGAAGATCTGTCTGGTTTTTTTCTCTTAATATATGAACAATAAAATTTTTTAAAAGAGACGTCCAAAATTAATCTTAAATTTGATCGAATTGCACATATTATATAATATTTTCAATATTAATTTACTTATATTAAATGAAATTATAAAATATTAAATATAAATTATTAATATTAACAATATATAAAACATTTCGTTGTTTTGAATAGAGGTAAATTGCCATATTTAGTTTGGATTTGTTTTTAAAAGATTTTCTCCTCAATTTTGAAAAATAAAGAGCTCATTTGCCAGGTTGTTTCCAACATATATTTTCAAAAATATATCTGCTATATAAAAAAATAAATTGCTTTCAAAAATTTCGGAAAAATAGAAAGTGATATGAAAGTAATAGCATTTTTTTTTTCAAAAAAAAATGGAGTGACCTCTTTGTTCACGAACGTACATTAAAAAAATGAAAAAAGCGAAAAGGACGGTTTCCGTAAACCTATCCAAATGATGACTTGTAAGACACGTCGGACTATCTTCCAAGTTAGTGCCAGTGACACGTCGGTGGGTCCCACGTCAGACTAATTACATCCTAGTCCGCACACGTCATTGTCGAGTCGCACCCCACGTGTTAGCCCACCACCAGTTCCTCTTGCTTCCTTGTCTCTCTCTCTCCCCTCTCCCCCATGCACTGCCTCTGCCGAAGAAGGAAGCAAAGTAGGGAATCGTCGTCTCTCTCCCCACGGTCGACTGCATTTATACGCCCGAGTAATACGACGCATGTTTTCTCGAAAAGTGGTCCCTCTTTCTCCCTAACAATTTCGAACTGGACATTCGTGGCTCAATCGCCTAACGCAAGGTGGACGGGGCAATTCCGTCGGTCTCCCTTTCATTCCAAGCACGCCGCAGCACATGTTCTTTTCATCTTTCTCCTGGATCCTCAATTTCCTTCAGGTGCTTTCTTCTCTCTCTCTGCGTCTTTATGCTCGAGCTCGAGGTGGAGAATTAAAGACTAAGGGCGTGCTTGTTTTTTCGGCTTCAATTGCACATGGCAGACTGCGGTTGTCGCCAGTCTTGATTGACCCTTGTTGTTGCTTGTGGGAGATAGATATTGGTGTGCCATCGTCGATCACCATGGCTGGTATTGACAAATTAATCTCCGTTCATCCCGAAGAGCTTACTTTCCCATGTATGCTATCTCTCCCAGTTCTTCAATTCTTTATTACATTGAAGATGTTTGTAATTTTGTCTAAATCAGTTTTCACTTTATTAAATTGAATGATGGCTCAGACGGGGTTGAAATGCACCATTTTTGATGATTTACTTCCTGAAGAAAGCATCTTTCGAGGCTAAAATGCTGCACAACGGTTGGGGAATATAGGTTTTGAGCTTTGTAAAAAATGATAGAACTATGATTTCTCAGCCCCTTGTTTAGTATGACTTTTGGCATGATAGGTATTAATAAAAGCAGAAACAGAAATCTCAGTCACACCGAGTGGATATAAAATGGATAACACCAACAATAAATCGTCTACAATGGTTTAGTCATGTGGAACAAAAACCAATAACAGCCCCAGTTAGGAAGATCGGTATGCTCTGCAATTTGGTAAGTTTAGACAAAGGTAGGATCAACATGCACTATTGTCGTTAAAGTATGTCTTTCTTGGATAGGTCGATCAATCTTTTGTCCGAAGGTAAAGCATGTTACAATAGTCAGATAGATGACAATTTTGAACCAGAGAATTTATTTATTTATTTTTATGGAAAGATAGTGATAAAGGGAAGTCCTGGCAACAGCTATTTTGTCGTTCTATGTTGTTATTGAATTAAATTAACTTCATTTGGTCAACTTACAGAAATTGATCCCATCTTCCTGCAAATATTGATGGACATCCTGTGAGTGTTTAATTTAGAGAAGTGAATTTGAGTGCTTATTACAAGGAGAAAATGTCCTTATAAAAAGTTACAGTCTAGCACATCTTTATTCTCCATGTTATTTTTTTTTTCCCCTTGTATCTCATAGTTCAGGACATCTGATCAAATGTGTGCCTGTGGTCAGTTGAGCTGGAGAAACAAAGTTATTGTGATCTTAAAATTGCAAACAAAACAGAAAAGTATGTTGCCTTCAAGGTATTTTCTCAACTACGCAAATGTGTAAACTCCCTTGTTAATAATGTTTACTTTCACAACTCCTGTTGGTTTGTCATTTGTTATATGTCTGTTTGGTTGTTTCTTTGCCAGGTCAAAACTACTTCACCAAAGAAATACTTTGTTCGACCAAAGACTGGAGTTATACAGCCATGGGACTCGTCTGTTATAAGAGGTCCTACTCTTCCACTTGCCAAGCTTTTGGGTTCTGATGTTCATGGTAGCTGTTGCAACTGTCATGATCATCATTGCCGACATCTTAGTTTACAATGCAGAATTCTAACAGGGTTTAATTGGGGAGGGTTTGTGGGGGTTTGGTTGTGATTTCCATGGGAAAACTAAATTTTTAAATTCCAACTACGAACAACATTTATTTCACTAAAATGCCGATGTAAGTTAATAAAATGGAGGTCCTTACCTATTTCCAGATAAGGGCATGTAATGTCATTTCAGAAACAAGAAAATTTCCATTTTTTAAAGAACATGTGGGATACTTTTCTTTCTAAAATTAAATTGAAATGGGAAAAATCTTGATCTGTTTTTTGATCTACTTAGTATGTATTCAAATGCATTGAAAAAATATAATGCCAACATGAACTCTATTCATCTTAAAAAGGGTTTGATGCTGCATATTTCAGTATGTTGGGTATCTGTTAGTTGATCTCTGCCATCAACGTGTCTTGTGTTTGACACTGGCTTTGACAAGTACATGCTTAATGATATATGGCAGTTTACTGCGATGTTTATGTCATATACTTCCATTGTGATTTGCCATCATTTGGAAAGCTGGTTTTGATTTGACGTTATATCTGCAGTCACCCTACGACCCCAGGAGGAATACCCTCCAGGTATGCAGTGTAAGGATAAATTTCTACTACAGTGTACAATTGTAACTCCACAGGCAGAAGTTGATGATCTTTCAGCAGATACTGTAAGAATCTTAGCTTGACTTCAGTACCTTACTTTTAATAGTTTTCTTCTTGCCCGAGTGATGAGTACGCTTTTTCTGTTCAAATGATGAATATTTTTGTGCTCAGTTCAATAAAGACAGTGGGAAAACAATAGAAGAATGCGAGCTTCGGGTTGTCTATGTCTCTTCCCAAGCAGCTGTTGGAAATACAGAAGACCGAAGTTTTCATAACAACTCTGTGAGTTCTGTGTTGCTCTTTTGAAAGTTTGGATTTTTCAGGTCTAAATAGCATTTTTACCTCTTTTTTTTTTTTAAAAAAAAAATGTTGCTTGCATGCCCCCACTGGTACATGAAAAGTGCAATTTCATTCAAATTTCTAAATAACAAGCATGGGGAATTTACTCCCTTTTAACTAAGCAAAACCTTCTAAACATATAAATCCTTTTTATTTATTTCAATTTCAGATTCACAGTGTCACAAGTTTTGATGACGTAAGTATTCTTTTTACTGGATATTCTCTCACTAGTACTATGATGATTTTATTTTGTCATCTGTTTTTCTTTTCTTTTTTTTGTTTCGCCATCACCTTTGGAAAATATTTTTCCTCTGCTTTTCAACATCTTTTGCATTAGCTCAAATTGAGCCTTTGATTTATGTGGGTACATTGCAAGGGGGGGCATGGGATTCCAAACCTCCACCCCCCCCCCCCCCCTTTTCCAAAAAAAAAAAGAAAAAAGTGAGGTTATATCCCAAGCTTCTGGCTCGGGGACATGGCTCAACTATGGATGAGTTGGGAAATAATGCTGGACGGGATTTATTACAAAGATGCTTTCAGCATGTCGGATGGTCTGATAATACGCGTGAATATATTCCTTGCCTGCAAGGCTGTAGGACATTAATATGATTGTCCTTTCTACCACATATATTCAAAGTTTACTTGAGCATTATTGCATATTCTGCAAACTAATAATATCTCTGTTAGGTAATCAATTGTATCCTCCAGGTGCTTCTGGATTCAGTATAGTTTTTTCTCGAATTCTTAGCTGGTTAAGTGTTTGATGTTCCATGAAATTAATACAAAACCTTTAGCTAGTAAATCTGTGAAATTGGTGGGACCAGTGCATAACATTTGTAAATGATGACAATGCTGCTGTGTTTCTTCATTGCATGTATGTTAGTTTTGGTCTTCTGAGTGGCCTTTGTATTGTATGCAGCAACATCTCGACGTGTGTATGTTAGCAAATATCATAGATTTTCACTTGAGTTTTAGGATTATTTATCTGGTTCTAATTTCTGCATTTATTTGGAAGCAGAATCAAGCGATCCGCCAGCTCGAGGATGAAAGGGATGCAGCTGTGCAGCAGACGCAGCGTCTGATGCAGGAACTGGTTAGTATGACTACTGTAACTTCCCCTTTTTTTAATAAAAAATAATCCTATCGTTGGTCTTATTATTATGTGGTAATAGGAAAAATTTTCAAATTAAAGTTGAGCTATTTCTCTTAACTAAATATGTTAATTTTTAATAAATAAAGTTATTTGAATGATTAAAATAAATTTTATAATTAAAATGTTTTAATTAATTAATTTAATTATATTTTTAAAAGGCAAGACAGATGCAAATTGTAACAAAAGAACACGCTCATCTTACTTAAATTTGAGTGCGGGCAAAGTGGACAGAAGGAGAGGCAAGGACACGCTGGGAATTATATAGAATTTGACGTGCAAAATCACTAATGCACCAGAAGATATATCTGGATTTTCTAAATTTATGTATTTTGTAAATTTAAAAAAAATAGAAAAATTGTTTGTACGACGCTAGGTGCTAGTTGGTATTGGGTGTATATTTACCTTGACAGTGAACATCATTGTTTCTTGGATACACGAGAAAAGAGGATGACGATGTATCTAATAGAAGTTAGTGTAGATATTAGGTGTACACTCGCCGTAACACGGAGGCTCACTGGAGCATGGGGGCTATCTCAGGGTGTAGCACCCACGAACAACCAACCTAAAAATGGCGTGTCCGCCTGTTACATCAGGGCAGTGAGCCTCACTATAGCCCATCCAATCAATGTCAAGTCGCCATCTCATTGTGCAAAATCTCCAATAAACTTGATGAATAAAATAGGTTAATTTAACATTAGCTGCTCTCTCAAATTAACACTTGTATTTTAATAAATTATTTTTTATTTTTTATTTATTTAATCAAATAAAAATTAATTGTTCAAATAATTTGATTAAATATTAGATATTTTTAATTTTTTTGGTTTTTTATGTTTCATTTTTAAATTTAAAAATATAAATTAGTTTTTTGCATTTCATTTTTAAATTTAAAAAACAAAAAATGAAACAAATTTATTTTAATTATTTACAAAATAATTTGATATTTAGTATTATATTTAAATTTTTTTATTTAATTAAACATAAAATAAAAAATAAAAAATGCACGTGTCAATCTACTAAGTGCTGCCATACCTCGACACCACGTAATATCACGCCTAACATTAACCGAACGGATAACATATTGCCACCCGCCGCCCTGTCTCCATACTGCTGCTCCGCCATCCCATCACGGCCATCTCACTGTTCTTTATCACGTCGTGTCACTACTGAGAAATATCGAAAACGTTCGTTAGTTAATGATTGATTTTTGGGCTATAAAAATAGTCGGTTTGGCCATATCCGAGGGTTGATGGAAATCGAGAGAGAGATTAAGCAAGACGAGTAAAGGTTGGGTCGGGAGAGCTGGCTAAAAGAAGAGACTTGTCCCGTAAATCATTCGTTTTCTCTCAAAAGTCGAGTTCAACTATAGTGACACTCGGGTTTGAGTACAAGGGGTAGTGTGAAAAGGGGTGGCTCCTATGGTTCCAGCATGCAGCTTACATCATACTCAAATTGAGGAACCATATTTTGCAAATTAAATTCCGAATGGTAATGCCGACAAATTGATCCAATTTAAGGTTAAGTGATTGGAATCTAAAATAAGAGTTAAGCTTTCAATCAATGTCAAATTATAGCTCCCACACTTTAATTGGAATAAAGTGATGATATACGTGTAGAACCCACGGGCTTGTTCTCATGCATCTGCTTGTTTTTTAGTAGCAACAGAATCCTCCTAACATAAAAGAAAAAAAACTTTCGAAATTTTTGTGCAGGAATTGGTGAAGAGAAGAAGAAGTCAGAAGAGTGAGCATGGCTTGTCCTTGATACTTGCTCTCGTGGCTGGACTAATTTGTATCATGGTTGGATTCATCTTAAGCCTCTTACTATCATCATCATCTCCTTAGCCAGCACTATAGCTTCACAGTTTTTGGCCTTCAAGTTTCTTGTATAATATATATTCTACTTCATTGGGAAATGTTTCAACTCTATAAATTGACCATTGCTTTATTTATTTGTTTTTAAAATAAGTTAGATCGGTTAAAAATATTGATGTCAGCCTGCCCATAATTTGATATATAAATTGGAGATCTTGTCCCGATAAAATTACAAAAGAGGGCTTACTGAAGAATAACTAGACTATTCATCCAAATAAAATCTCTATTTCTTTTACATTTTTCATTTTCCTATCTCCATCCTGAGCCGTGTCATCCCTTTTGAAGTAAACGGGATAAAAGATTGTGAAAATGAAACTTAATTCTCTTCTTTGTCTCTTTCCTTCGCATTGCACCCTGCAAATTTCCTCTTCATTTCAGTTTAGAAGTTCCAATGGACAAGTTAACAGGAAGGTTTCATCCATAGAAAGGGAAATGGTCCCCACTTCCAGATTTTTTTAACATAAGAATTATCCAAAGAAACTTCTTAACATTCGGATTAATTAACACTTAGTGTAAATTTAAAACACTTATATCAAATCTTACTTGTTGATTTGGTCAAAATTAATTATGTAAAATGTGGTATAAGTGTTTTATATTTACATTAGATATTAATTGATCTTTCCTCTTTATATATATATTTATTATTTTCTATATTTTATTACTGACATACTTTTTTCTTTTTTTTCAAAAAGTTTTATTTATCACTTTAATATATGAAAACAATTACATATTTTACTCAAATTTGAATTGAGTTACTAAAAATATATTTTAGTTTAATAACTTTATTTCAACCAAACCAATACTGAACGACGTGGTAAAAAAAATAATTTGAATTTTGGAAAATATATCATATTATTTATAATAAAATATGATAAATTTTATAATAACAAATTGTTACAATTAGTGTCATAAAGACTTAATACTAACCAAGAGACTAACTCGAGATCAAGTAATTTTCAAAAGTGTAATTTATAAAATTTAACTAATATTTATAATATTTTAACTAGCTAAATATAATTTCTATTCTACCAACTAAAAATTATTTTTATATTTTATTTGACATTATTTTGATTCATTGATACTTCTGTTTTATTATTGTAACACAGATGGTATTATAAATTTTTATAATTAAATATGATGATTTATACAGTGACAAGTGATATAACAAGAGGTTGAAATTAGGTAATATTATAATTTGTTTTGAATTCTTCTTTTAATATCAATCTAATTTAATTTAACATTTTAAATATTAAATAATTTGAAATTTGGATATTGTAAAACTCCAATAGAAAATATATTATTTATAATAAAATATATAGTCTATAAATTTAAGGCTTAGTTTGATCGAATGTCCTAAAAGTTGCGTTGATAGGCATTCAAAAGGAGGGGTGGCAGAGAAGTAAATAAATGGACCTAGGCGAACACTCCCGTACCATCCATAAAATGCAGGGTTTAGAACCCTTCGCACGTGGACCAATTGTTATTGAACACGTGGACCAGTCCTTGTTAACTATAACCTACCCATCCACACGCGATCGACATCTCTTCCTTCAACAACTCAACCTCTTGCCCATTCGAGAAGGAGATGGACGGATTAATAGAATCTCTTGAGCGTTTCCTAGAAACTAGAAGCGCAGAGGTGAGACCGCTATCGGCCTTCATTGCAGGCGTGACCGGAATAGAATCGGTAACCGCGGAGCTCTACACAGTCAGTAGCGTGGTTTCTGTCGTCGTTCCGAACAGAAAGCATCTCCACGCCTGTCACTGAATGTTTTCTCCAACAGCTCTTCGTCCCGGAGAAAGCATTGAGGCCTGCACATTCTAGCCTCCTAACTCTATCTCCCTCAGAGTCTTTCTGCATCCAGCTGTCACGCCCCAAACCCCGGGCCCGTGACCAGCACTGGGATCCATCGACCCCAGTAAAACTTAACCAAACCAGCCAAACTCCAAAGATACAAAACATACACTAAAAGCAGTAAATCAACAACTAAGAAACCACTCGGGATCCTATCTGAGAGTACAAAGAAATGACTCTAGAATGCAAAAAAAACATATACAAAAATAGTGCCCGTACATCTATCAAATCCTTCGACAGTCACTTCGAAAGCTAGCACGCTACTCGAGACGAGAGCAACAACCCAAATCTGGAAAGTTAAAAACTATGAGTCGCGAAACTCAGTGAGTACGGATGATACCTAATCTATGCAAGTCAGGATACATCATGTCACGAGTCCAAAACCATACGCATACAGTGATCAATAAAACATAACAACATACACTTAAGAATACCATAAACCAAACATCAAATCACATCACTGGACTCAGGCCTACCCAACATTAGATGCTACGGATCACCACACTCTAACCGAGTCCCTGCCGTCCCCTCACGGATTTAGACTGACTCACCACTGGATGCTATGAATCACCGTACTCTAGCTGAGTTCCTGCCGTCCCCAAATCACATCATTGGACCCAGGCTTACCCAACACTAGATGCTACGGATTGCCGCACTCCAGCCGAGTCCCTGCCGTCCCCTCACGGACTCAGACCGACTCACCACTGGACGTTACGGATTATCGCACTCTAGCCGAGTTCTTGCCATCCCCAAATCATAGCACACCACACAATACCATCCTCACATACAGTTAAAAACAAGTTTACATACGCATATACAGTTTATGTCTCAAAAACCAGCATCATATACCAACATAACTCACTGACAGTTCATAAAACACATAATACATATCCCGAGTAATATATAATCAAAACACAGTTTTCAAACCACAAAATCATCACGTCAGAAAACCACAGTATGAAAACACAAGCATAGAGAGGGTATCATCACTCACAGTACAAGGCTGAACAAAAAGGAATTCCCAATTACGCTCACCCGACTCACTGATCTGGACGCACATCCACCAGCGTATCTGTAACCAAAATCACACAAAACTGTCATCAACGCCAAAACTGGCACAAGAAACAGGCTCGATAGCTAAAATTGGCCTAAAATCCCATCCTGACACCCTTGGCACGCATCTCAAGGCAACAAAACCCATCACCGGGATCCACACGACTCACTAACATGCAACAGTCCAACTCAACAGCCCACAACACTACTAAACCAACCTCCAAAATTCTCAATTATAGTGAACCGGTCTCTAAAACCCTTAAACCGGCGTAACCCAATCCAAAACTACCTCAAACTCAACTCGATTGGCCACGAAACCCTAAAAAATGGATCCAAAAGGCCTAAGAACCCTAAAATCTAGTCTGAACCGGCCAAAAAGGCCTCAAACCAGCTCTGAACCGGTCAAGAACTCAAACCCCTAATCACTAGCGCAAACCGAGCTTGGTTCACCTTGAACTAAATATCCAAAAATTACCAAACTTCACAGTTATGTAGATCTTATAGTGCTGAACCAGGAACTGGTCCAAACTTCACAAGAACCAACCTAAAAACCAATGAACTAATCACCCGAAGGATAACACACTAAACCGGTCGATTCACCTCGAGCCGACCACCCAAAATTTTTCGAACCCACTTGGTCTGATAGCCCTCATCCCCCTGAACTCAGAACCGGTCCAAATTCCAAATTTCAAGTCAAATTGGCCACTAAACCGACTGGTCAAAGCCTCGGCCGATTCGGTCAAAATCCCCCCCTTTTTTTTGTAAAGTTGGCTCGACTTGAGTCGCCAGCCTAGTGGCTCGGCTTGGGCCCCCTTGACTTGGGGCGTCAGCCCAACTGGGCCGCCCCAAGCCCAAAGCCCTAACTTAACTCTCTTTTTTTTTGTGTGGGCTGGCTTGCGGCCTAACCCACTTAGGACTGGGCCCAAACTGCCCCAGTCTAGCCAAACCCCTTTGGCCCAGGTCGGACCCAACCTACCCGAACCTGGATCCTCATCCGGGTTCGTCCCTGTCACCTGGAAGTGCAACTTAAATGCCCGTCCGGGTCTGCAACAAACTCGGAAGCTCCAACTTGAAAAAAAAAAAACGCAAGAACATCACTTACCTCAATCAAATAACCTCCCGAAACCCCAGATTTGAACCGACGAGCCTCAACAGACCATTTAATCAAACCAAATCGAGCCAAAACACACCAAAATCCGAGATTCTTCCTTCCACGACGCACAGACCCGCCTACCAGTTTCCCTCCGTTTTCTCTCAATATCCAACTCAATCTTTGAATTTGATTTAAGGAAAAGGTACGCTTGAGCCAAATGAACACAAATACACAATAAGATCAAGCCGCAACCACTCCAAATCATCACGGTATGGGATTTTCAGTCCGATTTACTGTTCATGACAGAAATTTCTGTCAAATTGCAACATAATCCTTCGACTTTGGTTCCTCTTCAAACAAGTCCCTAACAATTTCTAATTAAGCCCCCTCAAAATTTTTATTCTTACAATAAGGTCCCCACCCTAATTTATTTTAAAAAAATCGGGTCATTACACCAGCCCCCCATTTTGCTCTCCTAGTCCGTCGGATAGCTCAACTGGCTCCCCTGGCAATCTGTTGCCAGTGTGACATCTCTAGGTCGACCCGTGTTCTGCATATTCTAAGCAAACCCAGCAACATCTTTGTCGGGTCATGGACTAGACGACCTCCAGCTCTCCACAGTTCGAGCTTCGGTGTAAACCCATTTGCTTGGTCGCTCCTCTGTCCACCATGGTTTTTTGAACAACCTTCCCTGCCTAGCTGGCAACGGAACAACGGAGGTCGACAAAAAGCAGAGCATCCCTCGAAACTGGCTCCTGTAGCTTCTTCCGACTTTACCACATCCAATAAGGTTGTCTCACCCTTTCTCAACTCTCGGCTTAGCCGAATGGTAGACAACAACTTCTAGCCTCTCCCTTTCACAAAACTGAACACCGACGGACAACTAGGAGCAGCTTGCAGTCGACTGCTCTCGACCATTTGCTGTGTTTTGTTAACAGACCCAATAACACCTCTGTCTGGCCAGTTAACCGAGCAACCCACGGTTTTCAGTGGGTTAGGCGAAGGGGACGTGCCAAGCTACTCCGCCCCTCTCCTGTTGGTCTCTGTTTCATGGGTAAGCTCCCCTGCTTTACTGGACAGGGAGCAGGAGACCTCCGTGATAGCTTTTCCGTCACCTAAAGAGCCTCCAATGGCTTCCCCATTCTTGGAAACAGCTTCCTGTCCTCTCACGTAGACTCCCACTCTTTCGGAAGTCACACGGATGATGCCTTCTGTCGTGTTTCACAGACAAGCTGTCCACCCATTTGGCTGTTTCCCTGAGCCTCTTGGTCGAACAAAGGCCCACGGGGCCTTCGGTTTGCTCAACTGGGGAGTCTCAGCTCCCCCAGTTGACCCCTTAAGCGTTTCGGCACCCTTCCTCTATCGTGGACCCCCGTTCCTCTGGGAGTCCTAAGATGGCGTCTGGCGTCGTGCACTGCAGGAAGATTGTCTTCCTCGTTAACACGCCTTTCGATTGGACAAAGGCCCACGGGGCCTATGGTTTGATTAGCTAGCAGACCCGACTCCCCCAGCTAATCCTCTGAATGTTTCAGCAACTTCCATGTTTTGGCAACTCCTAGGCGTAATAGAGATGGACGACGCACGGTTTGAGCAAATAGATAGAGAGGGTATCTACCATGCGAACGGGTTGGTTACAATTAAGAATAATTGGCCCACGTGATCAACTACGAATAAGTTGGTTACAGTTGAGAATAATTAGCCCATATGATCAACAACGATTGATCTACGTGAGCAATGTTTGAAACACTCCCTTTTGGAGTAGGTACCGAATAATTGCCCATGGACCTAACGAGAATCCTCGCTGGCAGAGTAGAAGTGTTTTCTTTAAATGACATGGCAGTAAGGAATGATGTGATTGGTCTGGCGACGTGGCTCAAACTCGAAGTTAAGAACAAATTCGCTTTTGTGTCATTGTACAAGCGCCCAATCGACATCGCACCTGGTGAGATTTTTCCCTTCGCGATTAAGGGATCAGAATTTCATTCCGAGGAGGGTCACGCCTTCCGATTTTCTCCGAAATTCCGGAATTCTCCGGAATGGTCTCTTCAACATCTAAATTTCCATAAACACCCTATGACCTGCACAGAATTTCGATCCAACATCCACTTATTGCATCGAAAGAGAAGTTTCAAAAAAAATTAACAAATAAATAAATAAAATTCCTACCAAAATTTAAAAAATTTCTAGGTCCAGGACTTGTGTAATGGTACTAATAATTTCATAAAAGGATAATTTTTTTTTAATATTTATAATATAAAAAGTAAATTATTTCTAATTATAAAACAATTCCTCAATATAATAAATGGCTTTTATTTAAAAATTTAAAATATAACTGTTAAAATTCCATTCACGACAATTTTTTAGCTTGAAATTATTAATTTGGAGTGCACTTCTTATGATCATATTTATTTTAAATTTTCTTTTAATAAATTTAATTGTAGAGTTTGACGCGGGCAATGGGGTTATATCCAGGTCACGAGATAAGGGCAGTTTCGTAAATGCAAATGGGGATCAATATCAATTAATTAATGGGTTGTTTTATTTAAGTGTTCTCGTGACGTCTAGTAATTTCTCGGAAGCTTCTCCGATTTCTACTTATAAAAGTTTTGCCCGTTTTGAGGCCACTGTGACCGAATACGCCCTGAATTTTTCTCGGATTTGTTGAATCGATCATCTGCAGGAAAAATGGAAGCCTTCGCATCGTTCTTTGGATCTCAAGCAACGTCTCGTGGAAGTTGGACTTACGATTCCCTCAAGAACTTCCGTCAGATCTCCCCGTCGTACAAACTCACCTTAAACAGGTATTTGTTAATCTCTCTCTCTCTCTCTACAGGTGTTCTTGACTTGGTAAATGAAGAAAGATTAAGGAGAAAGTTTGTTGTAGTCATTTTTGATTAGCTTCTGTTCTTTAATTGGTTGGGCTTGACCGTGTCACAATTGTTCTCGGCCTCCGGCGTTCTGATTTATAAATATTAGGGCTTCTGCTTTCGTATGGTTATGCTTACAGTTCAACCTACCGTATGGTTCCGACGCAAATTGATTTTGAATGGATTGGTTGCTCTCTCTTGGTGCGTTCCATGGGAGCGTGTAGGAAACTAACCCCACCACACCCCCCCCCCCCCCCCCGTTTGGCCAAATTTTGGAAGGATGCTATGAATTTGAAGTCAATGAATTAAACTGGATGGTAGGGTATCGTTTAATGATATTTGGAAGCTAGATTCAACATTTTTACGATTTGCTTTCGGGGAGATCGGAGAGTGCGGTATTTGGGATATTAATATGCGATGTCATGTAATTTAATGTCGGATTGATTTTGTCTGACCTTGCTTTCGCATGTTGATTTCGCTTTTTTTAGTATTTCTCAATTGCTAGGGTTTGATCTCTTGATGTGAGTCTCATCGTTACCGCACCATTTTAATTTCTTGACCTTCCATCGCCTGTAGTTCGAATTCCTGATTGTTGACGCAAAATTGTCGTCTTTATTAATTCAAATTGACTATTTAATCACGGAGCTGGTTTACAGGTTTATCTCTCGCTATGTTGTGCTTTGATTGCATCAGCTGTTGGCGCGTATTTACATCTTTTGTGGAACATCGGTGGCTTCCTTACCACTCTTGGCTGCATAGGGAGCATTGTTTGGCTACTTTCCACTCATCCATGTGAAGAGGTAATCATCACTGTGCTGCATTTTTGTGGCTGTTATTATGCATGTTCCCCTCTTATATTTCCGTTAAGAGATCTCAAATTTTATTCTTTTTGGGCAAGCAGCAAAAGAGGGTTGCACTTTTGATGGCAGCCGCCTTGTTTGAGGGAGCTTCGATTGGTCCTTTGATTGACTTGGCTATTCAAGTTGACCCGAGGTTTGTCATGCTTATTCTTTTAGCCTTTTAATGGATTTGATAGTTTGTATGAGAATTAATAGAGCAGGGTAAAGATCCTGTAGGCTACTTATGTGGTTGGTTAAAGGCTTAGGGGAGTAACTTAAGTATTATTTTGAGAGAAAGATGGTTTTTTCGCTATATAGTGTATAATTTTCTAGATAATTTCTTGAATATGTGGTGGCCTGTGAATTGATTTGCAGTAGTTACCTTGGAAATTGTAATTGGATTTGTGGTCGATGCTGCGGTCGGAATTCTTGTTCTTTTTCAATTTCTTGTGTCCTGAACTTTTTCTGTTTCAGGTTATTTATTTTGTTAGAAGCACCATCAGGGGTCATAATGTTATTTTCATTAACTAACGCCGCCAAGGCATGTGGGCAGATTTTTGGTGGTTTTGCCTTAACTCAAAGGGTTTATCTTGTCATTTGGGTCCACATTTCCCTTTAATGAAATATAAGTTGGTTGGCACTAAAGATTTTCTACTGTATTGCAGCATTTTGGTTAGCGCTTTCGTGGGATGTGCAGTGGCTTTTGGCTGTTTTTCGGTGGCAGCCATGTTGGCAAGGCGTAGAGAGTACCTTTACCTAGGAGGTCTTCTTTCCTCCGGTCTTTCCATCCTGTTCTGGCTGCAGTTTACATCGTCAGTCTTTGGAGGATCTGCTGCCCTTTTCAAGTTTGAGGTACATTACTAGTAGTTACTTTCAGCCCATGCAACTTCTGTTATGGTAATTAAAATTAAAAAATTCTGAGTAATGGGTTTCTAATGGTGCTGTTGCAAAAAACATTTTTGCAGTTGTACTTTGGACTTCTGGTTTTCGTGGGCTATATTGTGGTGGACACTCAGGATATAATTGAGAGGGCTCACTTTGGCGATTTGGACTACGTTAAGCATGCCTTGACGCTTTTCACCGATTTTGCCGCTGTTTTTGTCCGGATCCTCGTTATCATGGTAAGTCAGTTGGGACAAACCTACCGTCTTTACAGGTTTTCGTTGTCATCTTTCTGAACGTTGGATTCTATATTGGCTGTGCAGCTGAAAAATGCTGAGAAGCAGGAGAGAAAGAAGAAGAGAAGAGATTAAACTTGACGGTCAAATCGTGTGCGCCCTTGGATCCGAGGGTTCCTCTAGTGGGTCTGAAGTCTTGTGATGGATCTATTAAGGACAAGTTCCCTGTGAATTTTCAAAATAAGTAGGGATTTTATGTAATTTGGATAACTGCTTGCTTGTACTGACTTTCATGGTCTTGTCTTGCGTATGTTGGACGTTCCATAACTGCTTGCCTGTACTGACCGGTGCTAATCAAGTCTTGGATGTTGTTTGAAGTTGATTATATTTTACCGTTATTAAACCTTAAGACTTTCATGTAATTTTAGATGATTTACGTATTTCTGTTTGAAAGGTTAAAATATTGAAGAAACGAAGAAAAACTGTGTAATGAGAGACGATACACAAACAATTTATCATATTGTGAAAATATCAACTGCGATGTCTCAGCGCATAACGCGTGGTCTTTTTTTTTCTTTTTCCTTTTTTTTTTTTGGAGGTTTTGTTTGGCTTGAATTAGAGTTTGCTCAAAAAGCAAGTAAATTAGAATTGGCTGCTTTTTTCTTTTTATTAATGATTATAAGCAAAAATGTGAAAATTCCAGTATAAGCAAAGGTAATTTTATTTTAGTAATTATTGTACTCTCTTTCTACATGCATGCATACATGTATTTCCAATCTTCATTCAAATCAATATTATTTTGATTGCAAACAATAATAGAGGCACTGTTAAGATTAAAGGAGGAGAATAAAAATGAGTATAAAACAAATTTATGAATAGTTTAAATAGGAATCTTCTTTACCATTCGGTTGCAAAAAGAAATTTTCAAATTTCATATAACGCCCAAGGTGAATTAGGTTTTGCATCCACGTGCTTTGAAGTAAAATTTCAATTAGTTTACTAACTTTTTACATTAATTTTTAAAATTTTATCTTAACATCAAAAATAAGTTTATAAGAGGTAATATGAGATCAAATCCAAATTTTGATATGAAAATATCGTATTTGTTTTATAAGGCATAACTCAAAATGTCATTCTTATTTCTCTTAGTATTTTTTTTTATAAATACTCAAAATTTCAAGGTGTTAGAATTGCTGTAATTGAAGCTCATGGCAGTAAATGAAACTGAAAATGTTAGGCCTGTTTAATTTCTGAAAATGTTTTCTATTTTCATTTTTTATTTCTATTTTTTGAAAATAATTTTTATTTTTAAAATTTAAAATTTTAGAAAATTTATTTTAAAATTTTAAAATTTTAAATTTTGGGTAAATACCAAAAATTTCAAGGTGTTAGAATTGTTGTAATTGAAGTTTATGGTAGGTAAATGAAACTCGGAATGGTTAGGGCATGTTTGATTTGTAAAAATGTTTTTTATTTTCATTTTATATTTCTATTTTTTGAAAATAATTTTTATTTTTAAAATATTAAATTTTAGAAAATATGTTTGGTCTGATTTGTTATTTTCAATTTTTAAAAGATAAGAATAATAAAAATATATTTAGTTTACTTATTTTCATTGAATTAAAAATGAGAATTTAATTAAATAAAATTAGAATTTAAGAATTCTTAACAAAGATTCAAGTGTAAAAATTATAAATATTTAAAAATTAACTTGAGATTTGAAAAGTGAAGAAATTAGATCGAATAATAAATAAAAGACCAAGGATCAAAATGCATAACAAATTGCATTGTTTATCCCTTTCGTGGTAAACCCTAGCCACTGGCACTCCTAGTCAAGTGCAGCAGAGACAGAGCTCTTTGCTGCAATCATGGAGCAGTCGCTGGCACTCTTCCACAAGCATAGCAAAAGTGGTGCTCTTTAAAATTGGTTGTAGTCACTCTTCACTACAACCCGTTGACCGTGAAAAAGGAAGGTTCGTAGTTGATTGCAACATAAGAGCAATAGGGGAAGATCATCCTACCTCAAGGGAAAATCATCCGACTGTAGGAAGATTGCAGTAGCTTCAACCAGGCGAGGCAAGGAGATTAATAATAGGGGAAGATGCTATAGTTTCGACCAGGCGAGGCAAGGAGATGAACAATGGGGGAAGATGCAATAGTTTTGACCAGGCATGGCAGGGAGATGAACAGTAGTTCGAGGAGATCAAGAAAAGAAAAATATTAAAAATCAACTTATTTACAAGCAAGCTATTGCGTTTTCAGTTTAAAACAAAAAATATTGAAAATAAATTTTTGTTATTTTTTATTTTTTAGCCTTTTTAAAAAATGCATTTTTTAAATTTGAAAATAGAAAATAAAAAACGTGTCAAATATATTTTTACAACTATTTTCTCTTTCCACTTAAAATAAAAAAAAAATAACCAAATCAAACAAGTGCTTAATTTTCCTTTTTCATTCGTAGGAAGTAGTTGGGAATTCAAATACAAAGATATATTAACCATTAACCCTTTTTTAATCTATTTCATTTTTTTTTACGGTAAAAACCATGAACTAGAAAAAAAAAAGAAAAGAAAAAAAGGTTGGATATGCGCTAAGTTGTGGGTCGGGTAAGGCACCCAGCTGCTATTCGGGTCTCGGTTTGTCACTAGGTCGGGTACTTGCATTGCTGTGGCCATATTTAAAAAATCAGACCGGATCAGATGATTGGATTGATTGAACTGTTAGCCAAATTTATTTCTAGCCCGGCTTTTATAAAAAAGTTAGGGCCTGTTTAGTTTGCAAAAATGTTTTCCTTTTTGCTTTCCTATTTCTATTTTTTGGAAAGTAGTTTTCATTTCAAAATTTTCAAATGTAAAAAATATGTTTGGTAAGATTTGTCATTTTCTATTTTCAAAAAATGAAAACAAAGAAAATATGTTTGGTTAACCTATTTTCAATAAATTGAAAAGAAGGATTTAATTGAATGAAATTAGAGTTTTAAGGTTTTTGATAGGGGTTCAAGTGAATAAATCAGAAGTTATAGATTCAGAAACTAAATATGAAAAGTCTAGGGATTAAAGTGAATAAAGGAGAAGAAATGAGGGACAAGATTGCAATTTTGAGAAGATGCTGTAGTGCATCTTCAACCTTCAACTGGATCGAAATCGAGTCAAACGGACCCGATCATGACCCGAATAATCTCAGCATATTTTCCAACTTTTTCCAAATAATTTTTATGCAATTTTGTTTTATATATACCGAATAGCAAAAGCCCCTTGTTAATTTGAATAAATTGCTACACCAAATGACGAATTTTTGGTACCAAAATTTACGATCGCTCCACACTATTATTTGCAAAACTCTGAAAATTCGAGGAGGATGAAGATGACGTGAGGGAGAAGATGACGTGAGGGAGGGAGAAGATGAATCCGTTTGCACAACTCTATTCGATCGCTCTGTTTGCAAGATGAATCCGATTGCTCCAAACCACTGTTTGCCAAGCTTTGAAAATTCGAGGAAGAAGATGACGTGACGGAGATGATGATGCGAGGAAGAAGACGAATCCATTTGCAAAACTCCATTCAATCGCTTCATTTCAAGACGAATCCGATCGCTCCAAATTGATGTTTGCAAAACTCTAAAAATCCGTTTCTTGCCTTTGTTCGTCGAGAAGCAAGCGCAATGTGAACAGTGGTAGACATATGAACATTACAAGAGAAACACTGGAAATCACTCTAATTACGAAAGTGACACTGCGTTTTCAGTCTAACACTGAAAACGCATAAAACCACTTTTTTCATTCTCTCATTTCCATCTAATGTCAAGAAATATTCTTTGAAAATGAAAATGAAAATGAAAGCAGTACACCAAACACACTTTCACATCTGTTTTCTGTTTTTTTTTTTTAAATGAAAATAAAAAATGAGCCAACCAAACAGGCCCTAGTTAATAAGAAAGAATTGTTCTAATTTGACAAAACTACTTCAACCGACAGTTGAATCCCTAGAACCGGCGAATAAGTAACAGTTTTTGGTTGGACCCCTAGAACCGGCGAACAAGTAACAGTTCTTGGTGAACGGTTTTTGGGGAATTGGACTGCCAGCTTTTCAATTTTTTTTTTTTAAGTTTTAAGCTAAATATAATTAGTTTTCCTCTCTCTCTCTGTCTCTCTCTCATCAACCCGTCGCCCCTCAACCCTTACTGCTCGACTGAGAAAGAAAGCCCGCTCTACCTCCTCCGTGACGCCCTCTCGTCGCCGTCGCCCTGTCTTCGCCGTGACATCCTCTCGTCGCCGTCGCCCTGCTACTGCCCAGTGACACCCCTGTTCATGGTTAATGCTTTACGAGATTGCAGTTGATTCATAAATCCAGATTCCAGATAGACAGCAAAGGTTCTGTTCTGTACTCCATACTCTTAATATTATATATATCTTATTTCGCCATTGGTCGTTGAACACTATCCTCTGTCACATTATAAAGAGGCAAGAGGGAACGAAACTGCAATGTTGATGTTGGGCTTGAAGGAGAATGAGAGCCTTGAGTTGTTCACTGAAATGCGAGGCGTTGATTTTCCTCCTTTTCATTCTCATTCTCTTCGTCCTTTGAATCTTTGCTCGTCTCTGTTCTTTGTGTCCCTCTTTTTATACTGTCTATACACAGAATCCATCGATCAATAACGTTACTTTTCTTTTCTACTTGATCTGAATGGTTTTTCTCCGACGCTTTTGGTTTTCAAATTGGCAGAACTCTAGTTGAGCAGGATTTTGCTGCGGTTTTGTAGATTGAACTGTTTGATTTAGAAGAGCTTGTCTAGAATACTTATCTGACTTTCTGTTCTCGGTCTTAAGCTCTGGAATTTGTTTGTCTGATGGTTCAATTGGTCTTGGAATCTAATATTGATGATTCTTGGATTGGTTGGTTGGGTATAGGACTGGAGATTTCATGCTGTTTCTGTTGTTGTGATGGGTAGATTCAAACAATAAAAAGAAAAAAAAGGAATAAAGAAATTGTCATTTTTTGATTTAGGTTTGTGTTTAGGTTTAGGTTTAGTATATAGACAATTTAACCGTAATCATCCATTCCCCCCTCGAGATATTTGTGATTCCAGGAGGGATTTTAATTCCTTTTATTGTTGGTCTTCCCAAGAACAGAAAGAGGGAAAAGAAGGCTTAAAACTTCTAATCAAAGCTCACTTATTTTTTCTTGTTGGGTATCATAATTTTCACTTTGTTTATCAAGGTTATTTTTTATACAACCAAATCAGATAAAACTCAGCCTTCCTCTAGTGGTTATTTCTAACTTTACATTAGAGAAGTGTGATAGAGTTTGTCCTTGTGGATATAGTAGGTGGGTCATTGCTTTCTATGGGAATACCTGATAATTCACTACAAGATTTGATACAGAAGGTAAGGTCTTGGATTTCTTGGGGGAAAAGTGCTCCAACTTCCTTGACTGGTGAATTGGAGATGCCTGATCAGAATCACAAAATGTGTTGTGAGTGTGAACATATTTTTATAATGTATATTTGTATAAATTACATAATCATGATGTCACCGGTCTAATTATGGTTCAATTGACGGTTGGACTGGTGAACTGTGAACCGGTAATTTTTCCAGTTCAATGAACGGTCTGGTTTTTCGAACCATGGCTGCAGCCCTGTATTGAAGAGATATGTGAGGGGAAGTTGATTGTTGCACTTCTCAAGATTGGTATTAACATGGGTTGTGTTCATTTCTAATCTTTAGCAGTTCAAAAGATCGATAGGTAGATTCAGATTGTGGGCAGTTCGTAGACATGGACAAGTTACTGGAATTCGGAAGGAGAGCAATGTTCTATGTCAGGGTTCTATCAGGATACGAGGAGCGTCGCATCAGATCTTATAGATTGCAGCTTCAAAGGCGTCTCCAAGAGGTTCTTTCCCCTTCCGCCTCACTCCTCACCTTTAGAATTTGAATATTTTTATTGAAACTTTGAAAGCCGGCTTTGTTTATCTTGATATAATCTAAAACTATTGGCTGTATGTGGAAGTTGTTTTTGTTGTGTGTGTGTGTGTGTTTTTTTTTTTTTTTTTTTCCATACTAGGTGTGGTTGTAAGGAATGTTTTTGATGCTTGTAGAGATTCTGGAAATTCTTAGCTACCATTTCTCCTGTCCATAGAGATGAATGTTGATTTAGATAGTTCAATAGACGATTCAAACAACCATATATTTTGTAATTGTTTGAGCTGAGGAATGCAATGGCACATAAGAGTTTGATGGTGTTCGTTTCTCTAGTTTAGATATAGATGTTTTGTACTGGGGGTTGCAGCAAACATAATTTTGTGATTGTAAGAGCTAGCTATTAGCTATATAGTTTGACCTTTGCCATAGTGATAGAGGTTCCGTTGTGTTTGAAATTCCCATGCCCGAGTAGAAGCATTTCCAATTCACCAGCCCGCATATAGAAATCCTGAAAATTTTCACCGGGAGCTGCAGTGAGCATAATTTTGTTATTCTAACAGCTAGCTAATAGCTATGTAGTTTGAGCTTTGCCAATTGCCATAGTTATAGAGGTTTTGTTGTGTTTCAAATCCACTTGCCTAAACAGAAGGATCTCCAAATTTGCATGCCCACAAATAAAAACCCAGAAAATTTTTATAAGCAAGCAACTTCTCTACGTCTATTATCAACTGGCACCAAACATAACTACAAAATGGAAAAACCTTCTACTTGTATTAATGTTGTGCTTGGACAGTCAAGGTTTGAACTATTTAGTGGACACTCTCAGAATCACACTTACTGGAGAAAATTAACTTGACAAAACTATAATCCTGAGTGAAATTTTCAACATACAGGTTGATATGGGCAGCTTATCATCTCTTTGATAACTTTTGGCCATTTCTGAAAATGACAATTAAAATGGGAGAGGGATCAAAAATGGCCACTTAGGGAAAGGATGGCCTAAACTTCTCATTCAACAAACTTTTTGTGGCAGCATTTGTTTGCAATTCTTATGGAGACAGACATCTTATATAGATCCAAACATTGAAAAGCTGTTAGGAGGCTTCTGCTAAGAATAGTGTTTTTTTTTTTTTTTTTTTTTTTTTTTTGGTGGGATGGGTCTGCTAAGAATAGTTTGGTGGTAAGATCTTGCAATAATTTCCCAATAAAGTGCCTCTATGTCAATTTATCCTCCTCTCTTATCATCTGTTGCCTATCACCCATAAAGACGTTTTCCAAAATGTGTATTTGAACTCCCAGTTAACATGGTCTTTTAGTTGTCAAGTCTGCAGACAACACTCTCCTCTGAAACCCTTAAATTAAAAATTTGTTAGCCACAATCATTGCATCCAAAGTGTAATCTTCAAAAAGGCATTTTCGAGTCATGGAAAATTCTACTAGTTACTCTTCTCGTTCTCAGTGTTGAGAAATGAGAAACGAAGTATTAATGGAAACAATAAAGCAATACATTTTTTCTTACGTGCTTACGATACATCTTATGTGACTGATGCTAGAAGACCCTTAACATTGCAGGGGTCTCCTCAGTAGGAAGCAAAGCAACAAATTAGGCATTGAGATCCTCAAAGTTCACGCCTATTGGAAGGGCATCTTCCTTCATTATAGCTGTAAGATCCCATGTCTTCCAACTTTGATTTACAGGATTGAAGGCCACTATCACCCAATTTGTATCTGACCATTTATCCATTGTGCATTCCTTGAATGTTGCCACAACTTCGTTGTTTGGATTCTTTGGAATGGCTTGTCCAATTAGGCCTCTGAAAATAAATGAAATACAAATCTTAAAGAAAACAACTGTGCTTGCATCTCTTTTTACTGCACTTCTTTTTCTTCTTTTCTGACCCTAATCTATATATTAATTGCCTCCATCCTGATGAGAGTTAGCTATAAGGTAAAAGAATTCTGACTATGGATCTTCTTCATTATGTCACAAGGCTCTCATCTGTGGCCTTAAGCTAATTCCGCTACCATTATAAAGTGGCCAAACTTATAGGCCATCTCTAGACACCATAATTTCTTCCCAATGCCTCATTTGCCTTCAGAAGTCCATATCATTATTATCAACTCTATGGACTTTTTGCAATTCCCATTTAATTATTGCCCCCTTATTTTCTTTAATCAAACCAATCCTTGACCTAATCTCAAGTAAATGTGTTGACAAGCTTCCATTATAAATTTTTCAATCTTATATGTAACTCCATCCAATATTTCCTCATCACCCTAGCCATCTTCCTATTCTTACATTTCATCCCTCTTAATGGCTGTTGTCCTTCACTGATATAAAAACCATAAAGTTAAGATTGGCGACTTCCAAAACCTACCTAAACCTTAATGAGACTCACAAACAATAATCGAATTGCATAATTTAACTTGAAGAGAACCTATGGTTTGCCCATGTCTGCTCATTATCTATTTTCCCTACATTATGAAGAGTGAAAAATGCATAGGAAACCAATAAAAATCTATATCTGCTCTAAACATCAACAAATCAAGGTTCATATGATAACAGAATTTGATTTTTAAGAGCACCTGATGACTCCGAGTGGATTCTTCTTGCAACAACTGATTTCCCAAAATTGCCAGTTCTTTACTTTTTTATTTTATTTTCCTTTTTGGGGTTTTCTTTTTTCTGGGGGGGGGGGGGAATAACTCTTGTGTTTTCTTTAGATTGCACAAGACTCCATCGTGATTTGGAAATTGTGCCAAATTCCCTTGTGTTTTAAGATTTTGTGAACATTTGTCATATTTTTTTCCATAATTAACAGTGTTAAATTGTAATAATCGGATTAAGTATTTAATTAAAGAATATAAAAGGTATAGATTAATATATAAAAAAAAAGACTTTGGGAACCAAAATAAATAAAGTGTATGAGGTTTTGTTTGATTTTCTTTTTTTTAATTTTTAAAAAGAATTATAAAATTCTTAGTTTTTTTTTTTTTTTTGCTTATTTTGATGAAACAAACAATCATTATGAAAAAAATATTATATAAAAGTTCTTGAAAAAATAAAATAAACTTAAAAAAAAAAAGAAAAAAAGATGAATAAAAATAATAATTGGAGACATTTCAACTCTCAATATTAGAGAATTGTGCTTATTGTAAGAAGAATGAATCATATGATGAAGGATATTATTTTTAATCAAATGATTATTTTTAACTTTTAACTAAATCATGGAAAAGAAAAATTTTACAAGTTACAACTATTTTCACCTAAAACAAGTAGTGGAATATTGAAATACAATATATTTTATTTTAATTTTCATATTAGGATGGAGTTTTGTGCAAACTAACTAGGTATTGTGACTTTTTTCCCAAAAGTGAACTTTAATGGACAGGGTGGGTGCAGGGAATAATGAACCATAATGTACTTTTGTTCAATTTTCATGTCAAAAAGGGGGTTTCTGCAAGTTAATTAAATCACGTAGGGGTATCTGGCTTTTTCCCAGGGTTAGGGAGAGGGAAAGGGGATTTCATTCTGTTGTTATGCCATGTTCTATGTCACTGGATATTTGGAATTGTGTTTGTGGCCAGGCTCAAGTGAGATGAATCTGATTCCTAAATGGAAACTATTGTGAATTCAGACTCCATTTTTCTTTTTGGTGAACCAATTGTTTCAAAATTTTAAACTCTTATCACTCGTACCATTTTTGTCTTTTCTGGATGGTATCTCTTTTTTTTTTTTAACTTCAATTTGTTAAGGTATGAGCAGTTGGTGATTCTAAATGTGTGAAAAGGCTTGCATTTTATATAAAAGGTCGGATTTTGTTTGAATCGCTAAAAGCTATCATATATATGCATATGCATAACTGGTTTGAATAATCCCATACATCTAAGAATGGCCACCAAAAATGAAAGAAAGGAAAACAAAAAGAAGAAAGAGAAGACAGTAGTGAATAAGTTTTCAGAAATTATGTGTCTGCATTCCTATGACTAATGTAGGGATGATTAACTGGGTGTAAGATCTTCACACGGATGGCAAATTTATAATGTTACGTAGGTTTATTCGGTTCAGATATTTTTTTTTATAAAAAAAATCTATTATTTTATTTTGAAGAACTGTCTGTTGGTACCTAGGTAGTTTTATTGTTAAAATATCAACTGCTTCTTCTCTCATATGAAATTATAGAATTTAAATTACAAAGATTTATTGTGGGCAGAAATTTTAAAGGTACATTTATTTATTGACAATGTTCTGAGAATATCTTACTTCTTATGTCAAGCGTGATTTACCTTTGCTTTCCCTTTAGTTTGTGATTACATTATCCTTGAACTCCATACTATAATGTTTTCACCATGGGTTGGTTCTGACCCGCACCCCTCTGTTTGTAGGCAGAAGCAAAGAAGGCAGCCATAAGAAAGATTCCTGAACAGATTATTTTGTCAGAGGTTCGCCGAATGGTTGAGGAGATGCAAGCTTTAAATAAGAAGTTGGAAGAAACCGTGAGTCTTTTCTTTTTAGTTTGTGTCTATATAGCATCCCTTAGCATTCGTTGTGAAGGTGAATTATATGGCTATATCACTCAGCTATACTCTGCATCATACATGTTGCAAAAAATTATATACCTCTCCGAAAGGAGTTAAATTCTTTATTTATGCTTTTACCAGATCTCTTAAATTCATCCTGTTTTGTTTTGTGCAATGGCATGATTCTGTTCAGACTATTTCCAATTTGTTAATTTCTTTGTTGTTATTGTTATAATGGTTGTCAAATCGTGAATCATAACGAAAATCGTTTATTCAACTTTTGAATGGTGAATCGTAATGTATTGTATGATTCAAAAATGCATCAATAAAATACTTAAATATATATAATTCCACATTTATAGCACGAGCAAAATACTTAAAAGTCTCAAATAAATATTTAAAAATATTACACAAGGATGGAGCTAAATATTTTATCATGAGGTGTCAACTAAGATAGTAAACTAATAAAAGAAAATGACACAATTAATTTTAATTTTTAATAGAAAAGAAGTTTCTAACATTGAAATTTATGCAAGTTTATGTAGTTATTTAATATAAAATGATTATGACACTGTATACCCTTTACTTAGTCTATATTAACACAAATATTTATCAAATCTTGAATTGTACTAAGAACTGTATCGAATTATGCATGAATCGCATGATTTAGATACTTTTACGATTCAACAGCTAATATGAATTCTTGGTTTTATGAATCATACCGAATAGCACGAATCAAATCGTGAATTATACGATTCTAAAAAACACTTATTGTTATTATTATTGTTATCACATTGTCTTTGGTGATTGTTTTGGTTTAAGTTTTTGTATTTGATGGTACGGTGTGTTTAGGAGGCAGCTATTGAAGAGTATTTCAAGCCCCTTGACAAAGAGGCAGAGATCATAATAAAACAGCAGCTTGAAGGAGAGGAGAAGTCAATGAGGCAGATGATAAAAACAATGCAAACACAGGCTTTGCTTGAGCAAGCTGAAGCAGAAAGAAATGCAAGTCTTAAAAATGCTGGGGAAAATCAGCATCTCCAGGAAAAAGAAGCTTCTCCCCCCGCCCAAACTGAAGGAAGATGATTCTAAGAAACATTGAGAACAACCTTTTTTCTCTTACTCTTGTCTTCCCTCTTTTGGATGCCTGTTCAATTCAATGAAAGTTTGACAGTGCTAAGGACATAGAACAGACCTTGGCTAATTTGAATAACCTTGGCCACATGTTATGAAGTAGCAATAGCCATTTGGTTGATCCAACAAAGATTTGTACACTATGACACATAAGATTACAAAAGCTTATTTACTCATTTCGAGTCTGCTTGATAGCCTTCAACAGGAAGTAGATGAACAATACCTGACTTTGGGTTAAGAAATGCTTGATTCCATTTTGTTAATTGAAGTTATTTAGAAATTTAGAATTGATTCAATGAATTCATGAATGCAGCTTATACATATGTACTCTTCTTTAAAATCGCTGTTGAATATACTCACCTGTGAACTTTTGGTTGCAGTTTATGGTAGTTAAGCCTCTATCCAGCTTTGGTTTTAATTAAACCCTTGCTTTTCTTCGTAGTGGAGATGATATACATATGGGTTTAACCCTTCAGGAAACTTAGAACATGGTAGAAAACAATTTGGATTATTTCTTAGTTCTCTAGCTCAATCATATAATCCGAACCCCAAAATGGAAAATGGAGTTATTTTGTACCAGAGTTCCAAAGAGCTTGAAATAATGTCATTCTGAAAAACAGAAACCGAGGCCCCCGTAAGGAATATGATGTATGATGTGTCTCTTGAAATTGAAAGGTTTCCTAGCTCAATACTATCTCCTCCCCGGAAATTAATGGAAAACTTAAAATAATGATTATTCTGATTGATTTGATTAAGCTTTCTGCCTTACTATTTTAGAATTTTAAAGGATGAGTTCATGAGCGGGCTTTGGACTGCTTCTGAGTTTGGCCTCGGAGATTGGAAGTAAATGCTTCCTGACTTGAATTGGAAGTAGGCTTCATGACTATGCCATAAAAAAAAATTTAAAAAAATAGGTGAGCCAATAAAGGAGAATTCAGTATCAAATTAATAATTCACCACCTGGCTTTAACTTGGATTTGCGTGTTCCACTTAGATTTGCGTGTCCCACGTTTAATATGGAGGGAGTGATTCTGGACTAAAGTCTTCGAAAATTAGTTTCTTTTAGATTTTTATGCTTAACAACAGTCCGACTTACTTATTGCTGTACTTCTTGTAATTTTTTTTTTTTTTTTGGTTAAGAAATAAAGGAAACAAAAGCCTGTCATCTTTTGACGGGCCATCTTTCCCATTCAAGTGGAAAACTGAATCGATGAAAAGATTTAAGGCCTATCTAATAGCATTTACATTTGTTGACTAAGTTATCAAACAGTTTTTTCTGCTTATTTAAGAATAGATATATGTAATCCAATGTCTTCGAAAATTTCAACACATTACGAAATTTACAAAGCTCTGTTTACACTTACATTTAGAAAAAAGAAAAAGCATTTTCTCTCACATTCTCCTTTTTCCAAACAAATTACTTCATCTTATCTTTTCCTAAAATTAAACAAAAAAATATATTTTCAAATTTTTTCAATATAGAAAACAAAATCTCTCTCTCTCTCTCTCTCTAATTTGAAGGAATTTCCCCTTCTCCGTTTCCCTCAAGTCTCAATCATCTATATTCATTTCAGCAGGTTAAGTGTGGAGATGTAATTACTATAAAATGGAAATCTTGATTTAACAAATTGACTGTCTATATTTTTTCAAAGTACGGTCGAGATTATGCCACACTAGTGATCAAAATAGATAATTATGGTGCAATTAAAAATTAAACTAATAATACATCTGCCGAAGACTTCAACCTATTATTTATTCCATGAAACAAGTCTCCAGTCATTTCCCAGATTCCAATCCTGAAGGGGAGCCTACCCATCTCCATTGGTTGTGTCTGAGCATCGCCTCTTTCAATCTTCATTTTATCCAGTAGACCAAAGAAAAGTAAACACCCCCTTGGAAAAAGCTTAGTTTTCTTGACCCCATCTAATAATTTCATTTAACTCTGTTTATCTTGTTTCTTGCTCCCTTCTTCACAAATAATTTACAATTGGTCTACTTTTATTTTGGATTTTGCAATTTAATCCATATCAATCCAATCCACAATAAATATGTTAAAACTATCAATTGAACATATTTTTTTAATCCAAATTGGATTCGATTATTTAAAATTTTTAACCAATAAAAGATTTGATGGATATGATTTGATTATAAAAGTTCATAATTCGAAATAAATAGAACGGACATAAATTTTGTCTAATTCCATTTATTAAAATTTGAATTCATATATATATATATACATGTTTATATATAAATGATATACAATATAATATAATATTATATATATGACAATATAGACTGATTTATCATATTTTAATTAATAAATTAATTTCTCTTAAAAATAGGAATTAGAAACATATTGTCTTATTTTTTATAAAAATAAAAATAGGAAATATGTATATTAATGGGTTAGATGTAATTTTTATATATTACCATTAAACTAGTCTCAAATACAATATTTGTTGTAAATTAAATGTAATTATGCTATACTATTAAATTTTTTAATTTATTTATTAGTTCATTTTTTAAGAATTTCTTCTTTTGGTTTTGAATTATATTTCCTAAAGTATAAAACAATAAATATATGATAACTTAATAATTCTAATTTAGATTATTATTTCGAATATCAAATTTTATACAAATTTAAATATGATAGCACTAAAAATATATTTTATAAAATTTTGAATTAAATTTGAAAATAATATATCTCTACCAGATTCGAATCTGGATATATCATGATCTACCTGAATCCTACCCATTGTAGCCCTACATATAACTAAGACTGAATTAATTTAACTTTACCCACGAATCAAATCAAACCAAACAGTGCATACCCCCAAAATATATTCAGAAACAACAAATTTGTTGCCAAAAACAAAAAAAAGAATAGTTGAATCCAAAGTCTTTTAGTTGACAAAATCATAGTCTTGTTGTGTTGTCTGTACTTAGCCTGTGATGATAATATATGAACACACATTTAATAAATTATAATCTTCTTGTCTGCCATTACTTTGTTTAATAATCAATATTATCTACGGAATAAGCAGAGTTTAATCTCTAGTGCCTGCCCTCATGGGTGGTTGGACTGGCATGAGCCACGATGCAACAAAAACGCTGTCAAAGGGCTTTGGTCAGCTGAGGTGGGTGGCATCTTCTGGCCCCAAGGAGCATCTCAGGGCTGGCCCGCAGCACCTATGGCAGCCCTCCACGTGTCATCATATCCTTTGGTTGATAATTTTGGGTGTGGTTTTTGGGGCAAGCACTCGTGCATGAAGATGACCTTCCTCTACCAACATTTCTGTGAGCTATGAATCCACTAGAAAGGATAAAAATGTATTACAGACAGGGACAGCTTCAAATAGTAGAGTGAAAATTTTGCCAACTTTAGAGGTATGTATGAAAATTTTCAAAGTTTTTTTTATTGTTTTCTTTACCCTTTTATTTTGTACCCCCGAGCCTAGGAATAAAAAGCAGTGTTGGATGGAAAAGTAGAAACAGCGCTTGTAAATTATACTAAACTCCTCTAAAATATTACATTTTCACTTTATCCCTGTGAATTTTAAAAAATGTCACTTAACCCCCTCTATTTAAATTGTGCCACTTTGTTACTTCTATTAAATTGACCTTCAAATAAATGATTAATTCTTCAGGTTTATTTTAATTTTTTCCTTCTTGTATGCATAAAAGTATCGACTAGATGGAAGGGAGATGTGTCAAATCTAAAAACTTTGAGCGGGTGGAATGCTCACATTCAGACTTTGAGGGGCTAAGTGCAAAGGGGCATAATATTTCAAGGGCTTTTAACAATCCTATTATGAAAATGAGCAGTTGTCTGAAGTGGTTGTTGTTGGTGGGGGGTTGATAAGCATGGTGTGAAACCAACCAAGTTAGGGGCAAGCCCAATCACCCTTCACCTCAAATATATTCACTCAGGGTCACTGCTCTGATGCCTACTTCACATCTCTTGGCTGTGACTCACATGGGCTCCTATGAGCCATGGCCCTTCTTTCTCAAGTACAAGAGATTAATTGTAATTTATAATTTTGTAATTAATGAAATGTTATACTTGTTATTCCATTATCTGTATTAATAAAACCTCCTAACCAGAGAGGAATAAAAGGAAGCAAAAGAAAAAGATCACCACCAAATCAATGTCACTTTGAGCTGGAAAGGCAACAACATGATAAAAGTTGGCACCACAACCCATTTTACTGCCCGAATTAGAGGCAAGTCCTTCGGATTTTAGTTAAAGTGCAATTAATCTTCCTCGGTTTGAATATTACGTGTTCTTGGCGGAACTACATCCATTTTCATCTTCTTCACCTTCCAAATGGATTTAAAATTAAATTACCGGGGCGAAATTAGAAAAAATTAAAATATGGGGGCCACTTGCTGTTTTCAAACAAAATTATATATAAAAAATTGAAAAATTTTCAACCGTAAGGGCTAGTGCCCCTACCACTGTGTAGATCCGTCTTCATCTTCCCATGATTGAAACCCCAATTGCTGTACAAAATACCCTCCTAGGGTCTTACTGCAACGTGTTTATAAGAATTAATTGCCACAAAATCTTTAGGCTCTTACAGAATTTTTAATTTAAAATGAAGACTACCTAAGAAACTAAACTAAATTCACATATTTGATTGAGTTTTGGAAGAGGGTTGGGGGGGGGGGGGGGAGAGTTTTCAATCTACACGCACCTAATCGATTGGGCCCTACTGAAATAAGTGGGTTGAAAAACTCAAAACTCTAACCTCTAGGGACATGGCTCTAATTTTGATTGAAATTAATATAATGTATATATTTTAATTTCAGCTTTTAAGAATTAATAGAGACCGGAGTTGACACTGTGTTTTTCTTAAATTTAAATGTTTAATGTTTAAAGTTATGATCAAAATTTTAAGTAATATTTAAATTAAAGGTTGGTTCTGTCATTTAGTTTCAAAAGTTAAAAT